ATATTGTTAATGAATTTACACCTATGCAAGGTCTTAAGGTAATAGATTGAATCTGGATGTCCATTATTTCTTTGGTTTATATATTCATTAATTATATTATTATTATTTTAATAGGCATTTCTCTCTAAATACGTGGATGAGAGTGCACTTTTTAGAAGAAGATCACAATCAGAAGATGACAATCCACCATCGCCAGTCACTATGGATAGCGATGGAGGAGGAAGTGGAGTTGGATTTTTAGGTCATCATAGAAGTGGTCCCCAATCTCCGGCCCAACAACGAGACGGTTTAAGGTTTCATCCACCTTTAACTCCACCGTCTGGTAGTAATCCACATACTCCAGCTAGTCCACATACTGCGAATATATCTCAGGTATTTTTTTTTATTGCAATATCAATAAGCAAATATATAGATTTTGATTAATATAATAAACTATAAAAAAATGACGTAATTTTAGGCCAGTCAACATCAAAGTTTTGGTAGTAGTCCAGCAACTTCGTTTAATTTAGCGTCACCACCTTCACTACCTCCTAATACACCAAATATGCTACCACACCCATCACCTGGCTCAAGTCTTGTTGCCAACAGTCCCTTAAATCCAATGCATGTATCAAGCCCTGTTGGACTTATGCCAACATCTTCTCCAGGGCCTTGTAATAATGTGCCAGTAGGACATTCACCTGCGGGTTCATTTATGCAAACAGGTACAAATTTTCTAATAGATTTCGTGCTAAATTAATATAAATGTTTTAGAAATTAAATTTTATATATTGTTTCATATTAGGTCATATCGATGGTAGTCCATTTCCTTCTTCACAAAGTATGGCCTCTCCTGCTGCTTCAAATTGGCCAGGGTCTCCAAGTGTTCCTCGACCGTCTCCAGTAAGACCCGGTCAAAGTCCTGGTCATGCAGCTTTACACAGTCCTCAAGCAACAGATCATAAAAGTGGAAGTCATATATCTAGAGTATTACCTCAAAGATCATGGGCCGGTGCTGTACCAACTCTTTTAACTCATGAAGCACTGGAATTACTTTGTTGTCCTTCCTCTCATCCTTCTGGATTACCTGGACCAGATTTATCACCACTCGAAAGATTTTTAGGCTGTATTTATATGAGGAGACAGTTAACACGTTTTATTCAAAAAGACGAATGCGTAAGAATTATAAATTAATTATTATTTAATTTATTTACAAATTGTCTATGTTTAGGATTTATTAATTATTATAAAGTAAGAAAATATGTATAAATTAAATATATTTATTATAATTTCAGTTAACTAGCATCAACATCACTGAACCAGGCGTTGTACACTTTAAAGTAGAAAGTTTACAATGTAGAGTTGGATTAAATCCACAACATCTTCAATCTCTTCATATAAAAGTACAACCGCTTCCAGAACACAAAGATCAATGGACTTCCGAGGAATTACAAGTAAGATTAATCCTAGTGGAAATATATGTATTGTCTGTACAAGTTTTTTTACTAAGTTCAACTTGGGTAGACTACATCTGAACTTACACGCTCTGAGATTAATACAGTTAATACATTTAGATAGTTAAATCATAAATTTATTTAATTTTCTGCAGATTATAGAAAAATTCTTCGATACACGGGTGGCTGTTCCACCTTATAAACCAAATACAATATCTGGATTCGGCAGGATGCTCAATGTTCCTTTCAATGTTTTAAAAGATTTTGTTCAAATAATGAAATTAGATCTTATACCTAGTCTTGCGCAACAACAACAATTAAAATGGGGTGTGCAATGGTGTTTACGTATTCCACCATCTGCAACACCAATTGTACCAATTGGTATGGCAGCAGTACTTGTTTGCAGAAATAAAATTCTATTTTTCGTGAGTATATTTGTCTATTAATGTTACAAATATACAAAATGATAATCATTTAATAAACACTTTTATTATATTCTATCATTAATTAATTGATTAATTCCAGTTATCGATAAATCTACATAATTAAAAGATAATTTTTCATTTTAGTTACAAATAACAAGATTGGGTATGCCATATCAAGGAGAAACGCCATATCTTGTATTACCACTTGTGTACGATGTAAGTAATAATTTAACTCAGTTAGCTGAGAAAAGAGATCCTAATTCAGCTTCTGCAACTACATCAGCGTCGTTACAACTCAAAAGATTTGCTGAATATGGAGCCAATCAATCAGAATGCTCCTTGTTCCCAGCTGTAAGAGATCTTTTAACAAATTTGACGCTTCCTTCTGAACCTCCAGTAATACCACAGGTATTTATAATAATTTGAAGCAAAGATTGCACTCGTGGTCTAATTGCTTAAAACGGTTAGCCACTGTTCCACTCTTGATTGATGTAACTGTAGTACATGCATTTAATTAATCTTATTAATAGGTAGTTGCATCTCCAGCTGGAGGTCAAGTAACTCCAAACCAACAAATACAAAGTCCAGCGATGCAGTTACATTCTCCAATGGCTGGAAATCAAGGACCACCGCAAGGACCATACGGTATTCAAGCTATGCCACCTATGGGAATGATGAGTGGACCCTCGCAATAGGATTTACTATACTCTCCTAACCTCGTTTGTTTATCTAATCCTACCTCATGGATGAATTAAAAATATTTTCATTGTCGATTATTAATTATTCTATTACAACAAATTTTATTCGTTAAAAAAAGAGAGATAAAGAGATCAATGTATTTAAGCCACTAAGATCAAACATTCTTGGAGAGTTTTAGGAGAGCCAACTTATTTAAAAAATGTTATTAAACACTGGCTATTAATCAGGCATATTTAATATTCTGTTAATTGTTGAAAACAATAATAGAATATTCTATAAAGTGAAAGAATGATTTAATAAAATTTGACACATCTATTGTCCTTGCATTAAAATAAGTGGTGGAGAATAATTAAAATTAATGAAAATTGACATGACATCAGCAACATAATGTAAATGTATAAAGTATTGTATCATATTAAACTGCATTATAAACAAGTATACTTATTAATTAATAGGAAAACATTAATTATATAGGTAGACACAAATGTTTTTTAGGAAAGATATGTTTATATTAATATTTGTTATATTTTATGTAATAATACTATTTCTAAAAATTAGACCAATGCAAGTGTCTTAAAATACAAATTAATTATTATAATATGCATCTTTTGTATTTTTTACTCATGTTATAAAAAACAAAAATTAGTGTAAATAATGCGAGTAAATAATACGAGGTGTTTGTAAATAAAAGACACTACGTACAATAATGGTGTGATTTGAAATAGTCATATTTTCCTAATTATTTCCAATTCGTTTTACAGATATTAAAAATATTTCATCCAATTTTTTAATTCTGTAAATAATATGAAACATATTGTAATATGAAATTTGTTCAAAATTAGAAACGCCACATGTATTGAAAAAGTATAATAACTTCACGTACCATTACTTTTTGGTCAACTGAATATTTTTATCTTATAAATGATATAAAAATTTTTTTATTTTAATATTATGAATGTATACATTATTTTTTCTTTTTATACAAAAAAGTTTATTACATTTGATAAATCAATCATTTTATTATAATTGCACATAACAATATAGTATTAATAAGATATCATTTTATAATTACGCACGAGATAATACATTTATGCGTTACTGCTTTTCAAATATTATTATTATTATTATATATATATATATAATAATAAAGTGTATATATATATATACACTTTTAGATATCAGGTATCAGTCTCAGTATAAAAAATTTGTTCAATGTATCTCATCATATATAATGTAGATTTCTCCTTATTTTGTTAATAGTTATAATCAAGGTTTTTTTCAATATTCCTTTAAAAAAAAATCAAAAAATTAATATGTATTAAAAAATGTAAGTATAAATTATAGCGCGTTTAACAAAAACATTAATATTCAGATATTCACACTACGTTAAGACCGAAAATTTTGTTTTTTAAGCTTAAATGATTTTTTTATTTTTATATATAAATATATATATTAATATTAAAAATATTTATACATAATAATTATTATTTTAATTTAATAAATGTATCAATATAATTCTATATCAAGTAATGTAACATCCAACACTCATTTTAAGTATTTATCTTATTAAGTTTTGGTTTCTTTTCTTCCTTGATATAGAAAAGAAAAAGACATTTTATTATATCGTATTCTGAGACTATAAATTATTAAATCTAATGTGTAAAAAAGAAAAAAAAAAGAAACAAAGTGATAATATATTTTCTTTTTTACATAAAAAAGAGACTGAACAAGAGTACAATGAAAACGTATGTAAGAAATAAATACAAATATTTATAGTTTACACATGCAGGACATATGTGTGCTTTTAAATTATTTCAAATCAGCTATACTTTATGAAAACAAAAGCTTTTTATAGTATATATATATAGTATGATTTTTATTAACATAAAAGTGGTTCTCCTATTATACTCGATATTTTTCTTCAAATAATTCTAAATAACTTTCTTCTCTGCAATTAATTTTGTTAAATATATAGATATACATATATTACATGTAAAAAGAAGTTGTAATATCAAGTATAAGAAGACTAAGCATATTTTTCTTCTATTTTTTCTTTCTTTTATTTATTTGTTTTTTTTTCTTTTTTAAATAAAAAATAATAGTAACTTATTTTTGCCAAAAGTATTAGAATCAAATGAGATGTTTAAATAAAATCAAATATTATATATCTAATTTTCTCTAATTTTTCTACCAGGTACTAATATTCACTAATTTAATACAGATCATTATCTTATAATAATTTTAATTTATAGACACTTCTGAGAATGAAACGTACATCCTTTTAAATATATCAAAGTATGTTAATTACTTTTCTTCGATTTAGAAAGTGAATAATAGTAATATTTATCAATTGTTGTTTTCTATATAGCGTGTCTATAATTATCTTTCTATTTTTTATTTTCCCAAGTGCTTACCTTTCAGATAAAATGTACAATTATTATTGTTTTTTTTTTTAAATGAAAGTTTGGCAGGAGTTATAGAGACATAAGCACTACATAGATAGATATTATAATGTTTTCCATAATTTTTTAATATTACTATGTATTTTTGTATGTTTGTTGGAAACGCGAGTTCGAACTGTTAGAAGTGAAAAATTAGTATGGATGAAATGATAAGACTTGCCTAAATGCAATGAACTGAACTACTGTACACTTAAACATTTTCCTTTAATACATAAACATTTGAAATAATCTCAAAATAGGCAAAGCAACATAATAAAGGCTACACATTTTAGATACATACACTTAAAATCCTCATGTACATAAATTAAGTTTTACTTTTTTATTTGTTTGCTTGAGAAACAATATTAACTGATAAAGAAAAAAGTTTATAGTTTAAAATACATGTGCATATTGATGATATATCAAATAGCACAAATATAAAATGTACAAAATCTGAAGTATACTGCTGCGATCACTCGTTATTATATTATATTTTTTGATAAATGATTTTAAATGCTTGTATACTAATAATTATTAAACAATTAACAACATATCATAAAATGATAATAATCTACAGTGATATAGGAGTTTCTTAATCAAAAAGAAACCGAGAAAAAACTGAGAGGACAAAAAATTTTTTTGATGTGTATATTTATACACATCAATTTTTATAGATATGTGTGTGTGATTGAGTGTAATATCTTAAAAAATAATATATCATTTTTGTATTTTACAATACAGATCTCTAAAGCGAATTACATTAAACTCAACAAATCATATGTCTTCGATATTTGACTTTTCTTTTTTGTATTTCTACTACAAAATAAAGCTGGAATTTAATTTTGCTTAGATGCATATAAAAAAATAACATATTATAATAAATCTCCTACATCACTGTCAAGTTTGATTTGACGAATATCTGTGGTCATTCTACAATCAGGATTCATTTCTGTCGGCCGACGTTTTGACTAGCCTAAATCTGGCTAGTATCTAACGTTTCAAGCAAGCAAGGCACAGGACTTCTAATGGCTCAACGTGCGTTTGCTAGGAGGCACTACTCAACAGTTCCATGCCCTTAATGCCTCGTCAGCAGCAGCACCAACAAGTTAACACTGGAAACGAAAATGCTTAGAGTGTGCGATATGAACTATTATTAGTATGTAGAAAGTGCAGTTTTTTGTCTTCGATAGATTTACATTGACTTAGTATTATTAATATTATTAATTTTATGTACGTATACCCATTTTACTAGATACAATATATATTATGCGGTTTAGGAAATTATTAATACAACTGGAAAGACCGATATAGAAAAACCATCATTTTATGCAAATTTGAACACAATTTTTTTGTCGTATCACTATGGATTAAAATGTATATTTCTTTTAATCATTTTTAATGTTTTTTTTACTGATCTCATTAAGTATCTATAACTTTTTATAGTATACGCACATATAATTTATAGAATATGGTTAAAAGAATACGGATATACTAGCACAAATTATCAATAGAAAAGAAATTAGTTTTTGTTAGTATATATTTATTTTTCAAATAGATATATTTAAATGGCTGAAATTGACCATTTTGGTTGAATTATTATGTAACATTTTAATAGATAGAAAAATAGGCAGTAACCTTTTTGTTATTTCTTTACTACAATTAAAACTATCACCTACTATAATAATAAAAATAATAATAATCATTCGCAAAAGAATATATATATATATATATATATATATATATATATWTTTTTTTTTTTTTTCGTTTATCTAATATATTCTATTTAATACGTCGTTTAGCATTTACATATATTTGCTGTACTGAATACAATCTTCGATAAAAATTGATATTTTAGTTAAGACAAAAAAATTGTTAAAAAGGAACTATATAAACTAATGCATCGCAAACATTTAGAAATTATATGCATAATTATTAAAATGTTAATTTTTTATATTTGTAATATTTATTCGTTATAAAAAATTATTATTAGATATTAAATATTAGAGTTAGTTGGTAATTTGTGCTAAGAAATATCAAAAAGAGATACATAATAACGTATTTAGTGAAAAATACTAAATTACATTTGAACCATAACTGAAAACCCCAAGGCATGATTGCATGATTATTTAATTGATGTGATTAACTTGAAATGTGACTAAGCACATCAAAGAAGATAGTCAGTTTCTCTTATTATGTTATTTTATCAATGCAATCAAGCCTCTATCACCACTTTGGTATAGTTGATTATAGCATGATCATGCAAAAATATGAAGCAAAGCTATGTCTCATGCCTTAAGAAAAATATAAGTATATAAAAATAATTGACGTATAAGTAAGAATTAGAAAATTGGCAACAGATTCGGCATTGTTTTCTTTTTATAAAAAAAGGCATGGAAGAAGAAAAAAGTCTATTGTTCAATCAATCAATATCTTCACCACTTCTTACTTGAAACCAAATTTCACCACCAAACCATCACATCCCCATTTCACCACTTCTCTCACCAGGCTTGTCTCGATGACACATCTACGCAAGCTAAAAGAATGTTTGTTTTTTGTAAATGTTTACTACCGTATTATAAACTCTATACACAATGTAAGTATGTATATAAAATCACAGAGCAATTTTGTTGTTTACTTTTGTTAATGTTTAATTCATGATGCATAATATAATATAATATATATATATATAGCAGCATCCGAATGTATTATTAATTATATTATATACCCACATAAAAATAGATTTAAGGAATATCATTGTTGCAATACTTTTTATTTGTAAAAAATGGTTGTCATGCAACAAATGGATGGTCACGTGTATCAATTTAAGATTATTTCTTTTTGATATGGGTTTTTTTTTCTTTTTATCTTTTATATAAAAGTATATTATTTATTTAAAAAAATACATATAAAATAATCGCGTAATACTTAAGTTCCCTACGTTGGCGTTCAAAGCAGCTAAATGTTATTGACAAAATTTCTACATTATGTAGAATTAAATTTCATATAAATTAATTATTCATAAAATTCTCTTGACAAATATTATATATCACGAGTAGTAATTGTACGAAGACTATTATCCCTATCGCGAATGATAGAGTGAGAGAGAGATATAGAGATTCGAGTCAAAATATTTTAGAAATAATATTTGAATATTTCATTTTCAAAAAATGCATAAAATAACAATAATATCGCGTTATCAAAATTTTGGCATACATTAATGTATAATAGACAGAAATATATTATATTAATATTAATCTCTCACATTGAAACAACCAATGTAGCAAAGATAAATACATCGTCATGCGATAGTCGGAGAATTTTCGTTGCATATTAAATATATGCATATATATATATATTCGATGCACATTGCAACACAGCAGCGGTGCAAGATGTAACACGATGGTAGTCGATGGTAGACGGTATCAACCACCGTATGGGGAAAACAAAAGCCATGTATGTATGTATATACACAGGAGGCAATCATGAGAGCTCCTCAAAGGAAAAAGGAAAGCTTAACGTTCTGCTGCTGAAGTTACTCCTTGCCAGACGGCTCTACGCATCGATAAACTGCAAAGCGTTAAATTGATCACGTTTTACCGGCAATCAATAGAACTGCACTTCCGCATGGCCGATGTCATTCAACGAATATTAAGTAAGTAAGTAAGTTTTTCTCATTTTTTTTAAAACGATTTAAAAACTGATTTAAACATCGAGCCTACCATGTTGCGGACGCCAGTAGACACACGCCAGGTATAAGGCCATTATAATAACCAGGACTTCGATCAGGACTAAACCAGCTGCTACTCCTATAACTATTGCAGCATTTTCTTCTACCATCGTTAGTATCGCTTTGTAACAACCCTATGAATAAGAATTTTGGTTATTTTCATCCATTTTTTACTATAAGATTAAAATTATTATAATCAATATTTGTTCAATGTTTATATATTTATTATTAGGCTTACCTTCTGATAATAAGAGTTCGTGGACGTAGGAATGAGAGGACACAAGCGATCCTGCAGTTCACCATTTTGTTTTATGCAACAAGCTTCTGGTACCACTTTGTTGGTTGTCGTCCAATTTGTACTTTCGTGAAAATCCAAATAACTTTCAACACCGCAACAATGAAGCTAAATATGATCGAATTATTATATATATCTTTGACACATGTCATTATCATTTTTGAATTAATTTAAAATACCTGGCTCATAATACCATCCCACGCAACTGTCACGGTTTCGGTCTGATCCACACTTGCTGCGTAATACTTGATTGTCGACTTCAAGAAACTTTGTGTACCTTTTTCCGCCTATATTTATATTGTTATTTCAACATTAGTAATCATTACTTTTTTTCTTAAGTACATTACTACACTGTAATAAACTATTGTATAAAGTTAACGGATTAATATGATTCAATAATAGCTAATATTAGGTAAATATTTAAGATAATATATAAGTATGTATCTTGCATGTAACATTGACACAATTCTATCCCAATCATAAATACTAATATAAAAATCTTTAAAAATTAATAGAAATAATAGAAATTTTCAATGAAATGCAAAAACGACTGAAAAAATACTCAAAATGGAGAGCATTTCTTTAAAGAACTTTCACGACTCAACAAACTGTCCAACATTGGAATCGCTTAAAGCAAATATAACTGTTTTCTATCCTGGGCATTTTCTACATATACACATATATATACGCACGTCTCCTTTTAGTCCAAACGCAAGGCCAACCACCACACATTCCAGGACCAAAACCAATAAAAGAAGGACGCCATACTGCAATCAAAGAAGATATTTCTTTTATCGGCATCGATTACGATCTATCTATAATGTAAATATAGAATTTAATATATATATTACGGTCAATGTGTTTAACGTGAGAGTTTTTTAAAATGTCCGGACACCATATAGAATGCTTGTTCGAAAAGATATTGTACAAAATACCTTTAACAAGTTTCGGTCAATCTACAAAATGTTGAATTATTATACATAATGCCTTGAAGGTAGTGGTCAGTGTATTGAATCGCTCTGACAAGGAAATTTAAAAATGCGTTTATTATTAAGACAATAAATCCTTTAGTAAAAATCAACATACAGTTATTTATAATCATAGTTAATCATAAGGATTATTTATTGGAGTAAGGCAAAAAACTGTGGGTATTTGGAACTACAGAGTAAACCGGTAGCTTCGCACGTAAACTTTTTTGAAACACATTTGGTTTTGCAGTTGCATTTCTTATATTCCTGTGACCCTGACATGCTGTTATAAGATCATCTGTAATTCGTTTGATTAGTTTCATCTTACCAGCAATGTTAACAAGGCTAAACCATTCCAAAAGACAGCAGAGTATGAAGTTTTTTCCTCTTCTTACCACTTAAAATATCTTTGGCCTCTTTGACAACTTGTATTCAATCCTCGTACTGATGAGTGATAAGAAGATTGCTGTTAACTTTTTTCAATTTATGAAACCGGAAAGTTTTTCCTCGGACGTTTTCCGCATTTCACTCAAATGCGCCCCTTCATGCACAAAAACACACACACTCATATAATAACTCACTAACTCTGTGAAACATTTTAATTTAAAATTAAACTAAACTTATTAGCAACTTAACAGATTTATTGTAATTTAATTTAATAATAAAAATGTTATACAACTTTCCACGTTAAACACATTGAAAGTAACATATAGATATATAAATGTATGATTTCAATCAAATAATAAATTACGAACTTACGACACAGAGAAGACATCTAGATTCGAACATTGCACCGCAATACCCTAAAAAGCTAACAATGAACGTAAGGGCACCGGCAATGATTAGGATGTAGGACATCATTCTTATAACATCGGTATCCGTTTTTGTCTGTAACAAATAAAATAAATTATCCTTTTATTGGGATCCTATCATACATTATATTTGAGTCGATTGTTTTTTTGTGTTCCGTTTGTAAAATAAACGTTTAAATTAAGTTGAGATTAATAGTAAGACTTTGATTTATTATTATTTTCAATCTAGAATTTTAGATACCAAAAATGCACTTCGTTTTTTTCACGTCGACCAATTATTGGAAAAGTCAATGAAATCATGGGCAAAATTAAGCAAAATCGGCACATTAACAGTCGTGATATTGGTAAGGAACTAAACATACATCATAAAATAGTTTTAAACCATTTGGAGAAGTTTTTTGCATAAAAATATGCACGAAGAAACTTTTTCCTATAATTTAATATAATATATTCTGTCAATTCTTTTTTTATTGTAAGATATTCAGTACGAATGGAATGTATTGTATCTGTTATTACAACACAAGACTTATATACATATATATACTACTTGATGTATGTAAGAGGATGACATAATGGTGTTCACAAATGGCACTTAGAGAACACTTATAAGGTCGCTATGTACGAACGATCCCTGTCATATGTGATCCCTATCGAGTTTCACGAAGCAATAGTAGCAACAGCAGTAGCAGACATAGACGACATAGTCCCTCCTTTATGCGAACGATATAAGACACATTTCATCCAGTAGTATGTGAACATTTTCAATATTTTATAGTTGACATCTTGGGACCATGTTTCTTGGGTTGCTTGATACAACAACTTTACTCTTAGGAATCTGTCTAGATAGCTGCGAATAATTTTTTTCGTCTATTCCCATGTAATTTTGTAGTAGTAATAACAGCAGCAACGGAAACAGCAACAGTAACAGTAACAGCAGTAAGCTTACATCGAAACAAGTACTTAGTAACATATCTCGCCGTTATTTCTTCAAGGATATCTATAAAATTTACATTTTCTAGCAGCAGACGAGACAACAACAATTTTACACGAGGAGCCACTTCCATTCTCTTGTGTATTTATCGACTACGTTGTCGCGTTTAATTCTACTAACATAAGGAAGAATACGCCGAACACCTGTCGTAAGACCGTCATTTTTGGTAATTTACATTAATCGTTTGAATAAACATTGAGAATAAGGTGGTAACATTTTAAATTATATACTACCGCGATATTATATCATTCAGGATTATGCGAATGAAAGGATCAATGAAAATATACTTTTAGTATTGAATATTTGCTTACAATACACGAATCCATAAAACTGTTATTTCATTGGAACTCTTGAACGGAAAGTATCAAAATTACATTATTTTTGTTACAATAATACGATCGTTTAAAACGTTACGTAGTTTTTATTTAATTATTCAATAATTTCTGATTAATCTTTTATTGTCTTCGTGCATGGTCACCATATCGACCTATTGTGCATACGCATTTTTTCTTTCTTATCTTTTATTTTTATTCTTAGAGATGAGTCACGAATGTGAACAAAGTTTCGTAATCACGCGACGGGACAGTTATGGAAGAGGTATAAAAAGAAAAAAAGTTAAAACAAAAAAAAAAAAAGGACGAAAATCGCGATGAAAAGAGATGAAGAGAAGCACACAAGTATAGTCTAATCTCGTCAACGCTTTTCTAATTACTTGTACGCGATGAATAGGTACACCTAGGGATGCATCTTTCTCGACGATAATGAAGGTGAGACGTGGTTGCTACATAGTATCGTCAAGAATATAAAACTTGACATATGTATATCTATATATGTGTGTATATATGCATAAATATATGTAAGTATGTACGAAGGTATGTATTTTAGATCATATGAGTTTGTCACCGTGTGCTGTATCAACGACACGTTCTTTTCAAAAGGAAAACACTTTACTAAAGTATATCTTTCGACACTGCGAATGGCCAAAGAAAAAAGAGAAAAAAAAAGAAAGGTACAAAAATTCACATCGGTACTTTCTACTTAAGTACATATATGTATGCATGTAAGTATACTCTGTATGTACACATGTCGCATTGAAAATTCATCTCGGTGTCGAGCGTTAAAGAAACTGCATGTGGATGAGGAAAACGCTGTATATCTTTTTATTCTTTTATTATAAATAGAACGTGCGATTAAGTGCTTTAATTGTCCGACATTTTTAATTGTATTAGACCGAATCTTCTATTGACGTCTTGTTAACAACTACTGATAAGAATCTGGGTCTATTTGCACGTAATATCTAAACGTAGAAAGTTTTCCAACACTTTGTTCTAACATATTTAACATAATGACAATGGTATTTAACACTGAACGTACAACGAATAGGTTTCACATTTAAAATTAACATTCTGAATTGTTATTATTCTTTTTTCTTCCTTTTATAATCTTACGAGAATTAAAATTATAAATATTATTTGATTTATTATTTAAATCAAATTGATAATCATCTTCTGTATTCGATTTTCTTAGTCATTTAACATATATAATATTTTTGATTTTCATATTTGAACAAAATGAATCGTATGTTATACAGTAAAATAACATAAAAAAAAGATTATTCACGTAAAAATTACTAAGAAAAACTTCTGAAATGATTCGAATATACATAAAATTATGTTCATGCCACTGAACATCAAACATCGAAGGGAGCACTTTGTTGCGGACTTTAAAAGAAAAAAAGTAAGCACGATGGAGGGCTTTGGCCCCAGTATTTGTTGCGATCCTCAGTGCAGGGGCACTCTGATCCTCCCACGCATCGTGGCATAATGTGACAACCAATCATCTCATCAACTTCGAAGTACCGATAATTACGACTCCTCTCATCGTCGTCCTCGTCGTCATAGTCATGTCGTCTCTCTTAGCCACCATTTTTATTTGCCATCCCTCTCCTCGTCAGCGTTGCAAATAAATTCTCTCAACGAGTACTCTGTGTGTGTGTGCTGTTAGCTCAGAGTATTCCGTTGATAAAGTTCATTTTCGACCGAATGTCCAATTAACCTATGACCTGGGAAACGATCTTTCAATTATTAAACTCGGTTTAACGTTCTTAGGTAATGGAAGATTCATTTTTGTTGCTGTAACATATGATTTTTTTCTTTTTCCGCTTTTTTATCATTTTCTTAATAAACAAATGGCAACGTGTTATTCATACATTGGAAAAATCTTGTCGCACGAATGTTTATGTCACGAATAATGATTTTCATTATTTTTTGGTATCTCCCTTGCCCCTCACACACACACACACACACACACACACACACACACACACACACACA